AAAGTAAGAAAACCTCCCTGAGTAGCTAATGATACTAATGATAGAACCGTAGTGTAACGTGAAAAATGGCAGGATTGTTCGTGTTAACATTCCTAGTTCACTAAAATCTATAAAACTTTGTTAATTTATTTTTAATGTAAATTCTAGAATTTTAGTGCTTGTATAATATTCAGTGTTATATATGTATGTGTGTATATTTTATATATATATACTTTTATATATATATATATATATATTTTTTTTTTAATGAATCTGAACCTCTCATCTAGTGCTTGGAGAAAAATGGAACAGTCAACTTTGTTTTAAAAAGTAAGTTCTAATGTGAAATATAATTCAGTATATTATAGTGTTTTGCAATAGAACCTAGAGAACTAACATATTTTAACACTGGTTTCGTAGGCAATATGATCTAAGTACCAATTATCAGTCTAATACATAAACATTAGAAATATAACCTGTTTGTATTTTGGAGATCCTTAGAACTTTCCAAGATTTTAGTGTTTATATGCATTAATTTAAAAAATTAGTAGATATATAGAGAAAAAGAGGTAAATAACTGAAAAAATAAGACAGATGAGGGAAATGCTGTAATACTTATTTAAGTGGGTTAGAAGAACAACAGAAAGTCAGCTCCAAGAACACAAACGTTTTTCCACCATATGGAAGACACAATTTCTCAACCATATGGAAGAGATAACAAGAGAAAAATGTTTAATGTATGTTGGGGAAAAAAAAGAGAAATTTAGATTAAATGTTTAGGAAAATTCCTCTTATAAGACTACCCTAACTTACCAGCGTACATACAATTTCTTTGGAGCTATTTAAGAAATGTAGTCATCTCAAATTGGAACGTAAAAATGTGTGTAGATAAATCCTTTTCTTTCAGTTCTTCTGTGTTATTGTTTTGATTGTTTCCTTTCAGATCCCAAAGCTATTACAAATCAATTATGAGAATTTAGTAATTTCTACTTCAGTAGTCATAATTTTTACCTATTTTGATTAATGTCCATTAGTCATTATTCATCCTCTGTAAAATTAAACACATATAGAGAAGACAATGCTTCTTAAATGTTGTGGTAACTAACAAAACCTGATTCATATGTCAAGTTAACGTCGACAAGAAGGAATGCCAAAGGGGATTAGTTGACATAAGTGGTTCAAAATTGTAGCTTTTATTCTCTCATTGCTTTGATTTAGGAAAATATATCAACAATAAATTATTTGGGAATGAATGTATTACAAATCAAGCAATCAAAAGAAATGAGATCTGTAAGATTTAGAGTGAGAGTTTCTCAGGAGTGATGAATTTTTAAAATTATAGTTCCTCAATTTTAGGCTCAAATTGTGGGAAAAAATCATGAAAAGGGAGAAATAATGTTCATCCTTAGAGTAAAAGGGATTTTGCACATGAGGCTACATATTTAGAACTCTCAAATGAATTAATAAATGCATTTTTTATTGTTTTGCAGGATCAAGAGGTATCTAGAAAATAAGGACGTGCACCTATCTATATTTTTCAATACAAAATTTTTGTTAGCAATATTTTTTTAAAGAAACAATATTGTAATTAAATATCCTTTATGCTGGCTATCAATTTTTACATATATTTTACTGGCAAAAGTATGTCTTTGGCACGGCTGAAAAGGAAAACACAAACCTGGGAAATTAATACTTTTGAAAATACCTTAAGGTTGGCTAACATAATTTGAAATCCCACCATTTAGCTTTAAGGGCTTGGAAGGAATCACAAAATTGAGTTTCTATGTCTCAGAACAACAATAATCAAATAACAAAACATTGCCATAAGTGTTACCTTTATTATTATTTATGTAGTTTGTCTACAAATCAATCTTCAACCTATTAGTCAATAATTATATTCAGATGTCTTATTTTTCCCCATTTTCAATAGCAGTAAAGATAATGAAAAATTTAATACACAAAAATGTTTAAGAATCACATAAGGAGTCATTTGAAGACTTATTTTTGACAATATTAATACATTTGTCTTCTTCAAAAAGAGAAACGCATAACATGAAGCACTGAGGAAAATAAATAAGAACACAGAGAACAATGACAAGTCTAACAGTAAAATGAAATGTACTTGGAAGGTTTCCCTCCACTGGAGAAAACTGCTTACACAATAATTTATCAATTATGATGAGAATTAGTTACAAGTTTCTCTTAGCTGATACCTCACCTAAAATATATGAATTTCATTTAATCTACTTAAAGAGGGCATTTTTATTTGAAAAGCTACATTAACAACACAGAGTAAAGTTCAAGTAACATTATTCCAAATTTCTGATAATTCAAAATTGTATTGGGGTTTCATCTAAATAAATCTTAGTGTGTTATATTGGAATTTGGGTATAACCATAATCAGTCAAATTATCTCTGAATTTGATAATGTATTTCATCAAGTGTAAATTCTTTAAGTTGTTTTTCAAATTTATTCATTAATTAGCAACCTTCAAGAAATATTAGAGTATTAAACGTATTTCTACAAAACACCTAGTAGGTATTTTGCCCATAACAAAAGGCAAATTGGAATTAAGTTCTTAGGGACATATGAAAACAATTTTATAATACTTACATACAATTTGTACAGTATTATAACTGCATATTTCTTAAAATTCTGCTTTCCAGTAATTCACCTTGATTTAATAAAACTAATACCAAACTGTGCTGGAAGGCTTTCTAAGAATGGTATCACTGTAGATTTATTCATTTCATCCCTTTAATGTAAATATCACTTAAATATAAATTGTATTAAATTGGGCATTTGTTTAACAAAAATATAACTGAAATATCCTCGAGTCAGTAAAAGTAGAATTTATCGCATGACAACAATCCAGAGAGTGGGACCAGAACATTAAAAAGAACAGGCAACCAAGGCAGACCCTCACTGCTACCAGCTCACCTTCTAAAGATGATTTGGCACATTTCTCAACCTGTGTCCCTACAGAGTCAGTCTAGAAGGCTGTAAAATATTATGTCTTTTATACAGCGTGCAGCTAACTGGTTCAGAAATGAAGTAGAGACAAAGTAATAAAAGTAGAATGCTTGTATTTAAAAGGCAGTTCTTAGTAATGCTTCCCTTTGGCAATTTTTAGGTTTTTACTTTAAATTTAGCAGTTAAGTGTATAAAGACATAATTTTGTGTATAGTATGTAGCACACAAGAGCTTTCTTTGCAGTCGAGTCTCCTTAGAGAATTTACAGAATTTTCTTCAGTCAATTGCAATTCTTATGTTCCACATGGTTACAACATTTTTATTTCATTAACACCTAATTTACAAGCACAAACCATTCTAAATGTATCAGAACAGATGTAGGAAATAATTATAATTTAGATTGAAATTTTCATCTCCTAGTCACATATTTTTAACCCATCTATCTTAAGAAAAAAAAATCAAGAGGATTCGAAAAAGATTAAAGAGTTCTCCAATTTAAATAAAGAGGTACCAAAATTTAAGTTATTATTTTCTTTCAATTTACCTGTTACTGCACAGATGTACCGTACCTGCTGTATTGAGCTGTATAGTTAATAATGGGACATGTACTGCATTGATATAACAATCTGCACCAATTTGAATACAGTTTTCCATGGAGTCTCCCTTTATAGCCCTTGGACATTTAGTTTAATGCTTTGAGAGCTCTTTAAAATGTCTATTCTATGTTCTAGAGAGAAATCAATCATTTTACTTGGTTGACTTGACATTTAATTTGCTACGAATAAAAATAAATACAAAAATAATCTACCATTATACAAATACTAAAATAACTTTATGTTTGCTATCATTTACCAAATCCAGTCCACTTGGTCAGAATAATAACAAAGCCTCACCTCCTACCCGTGAACAGGCTTCGTTGCTTAGCTGAATGGAATAACCCACTTGTTCTGGCCTTAAATAGACACACACCCTATGATTTAGATGTGCTAAACTGATCCTCACTCAGCATTAACTTTCAGCTCCATGTAGTCAGCATGTCCCATCATTTGTTCCCATTGGCCTTATAAACAAATCTGAATGACAGGAGTATATTTTCAGGCATAAAATCTAATAAAGATGTTTGCCTGAGACTGTCTTCTGCCTCATTTTCAATCCATCTATCCACATTTTGATTTCCGGTAGCTTATATTAACTCCACTTCCTACTCATATTCTTGACTTACTAAGTAACTGGTAAATTAAGGCCATTGAAATGCCACTTTGCATGCTTGTCTTCCTATTGTCTGCATGGGCTTTGATAGAATTATCCTTATGAGATATTGAATATTAAGCACATAAAATTTACAGTATTTTGCAATAAAAATTAATCTTTGATTTTTCTTCATTAGTGTATTAGTTTATTTTCATACTGCTGCCCCAGACTGGGTAATTTATAAAGGAAAGAGATTTAATTGACTCACAGTTCAGCATGGCTAGGGAGGCCTCAGGAAACTTACAATCATGGCGGAAGGCAAAGGGGAAGCAACGTACCTTCTTCACAAGGCGGCAGGAATGAGAGTGAACGCAGGAGGAACTACTAAACACTTATAAAAGCAGCAGATCTCGTGAACACTCACTCACTATCAGGAGAACAACATGGGGAACCTGCCCCCATGATTCAATTACCTCCACCTGGTCTCTCCCTTGACACGTGGCGATTATGGGAATTACAATTCAACATGAGATTTAGGTGGGGACACAAAGCCTAATCATATCAATTAGCATATACACATTAGGTATCTGAAAATGGTGCAGATGAAGAAAAAAACAAACTTTCATTTATTCAGAAGCTTAGTATTTTATAATTTCAGGTGACGCCAAAGAAATTTTTGAAGAGGGGATATATCTAATTGTCTTAGAAAAGCTCATCTCAGTGATAATGGGATTGTTTCCTCATAATTTGAATTCTGAATAGGTCAAGGTCAACTTTCTCAGAAGAGGCCCTTTTATTGTGCTTTGTATAGCTAGCTCTAAACAAATGGAAACAGAAAAGATGAAAACGTCCTTACCTTAAGGGAAATTACTGCAGGTCTTACCCCCAGACTTCATATATCTGTGACATAAAAAGAAAGACATCCAAAAATTATTTACGTAATTTAAAATACCATTTTCTTCAAGTAAGCAAAAATTGAGACATTGCACTCTCCACAATCGGGGTGAATTTCTAGTGGAGCAAACAGTAGGAAGAGATCATCACAGAGATGTTTCAGTGAATAAGAATAAATAAAGGATAACTGGAAGATAATAATTAGGGTACTCATGAGACAAAAACACGCAACAGAAACTGAGCCTCTGAGTTTCAGATTGTGGTAGAGCAGACTTTACAGTACAAAGTAATTTTTCTTACCATTAAGATCAACTTGAATTCCCATATATTCATATCATATAATGCATTCGGCATCGTTTCATTATTTTAAATTATATTTTTAGATATGTTATAATGCTAATATGAAAAATGTAAGATATTCTGTAGCACTCAGCTACTTAGATTCAGTTGATTATCATATAGTAGTAAAACAATATAATGATTACATACAATTTTGTGGTTCACAAATCATTTTTATGATTTGATTCTTATAAAAATCTAGTGAGAGGTATGAGCACTTAAGAAACAGTCTGGCAAAAAAAAAAAAAAAAAAAAAAAAAGACAGCAATCCCTGAGAGAAACAAATAAGGTAAGCGCTAAGACTGTCTCAGCTGGAGAAAGTTACTAGGGTGTGGGGCAGGGAGAGAAAATTCAGTCAGATGCAGTGGTCTCCCTGAGTTGAGCAGACGGAGTTGGAAATTTGAGGAAGGCCAGATGCCTAGAATTTGCAGGGCATACTACCAGAGAGAGAAGGGAGACGTGCAAAGCCAGAACTCCAGAAATCTTCGGAAGGTCCCCTTTCAGTACACAGCTGATTATTAATCATGCATGCCTGTGAAGAAATTACCCATCTCCAGAAAAAGAAACACCTGAAAGAACAGTAGCTGATGTTTAAGCATGATTGAGATAAGTGTCTGTTCCCACCAACCAGGATAGAAAACCTCATAGTTCAAGGATTGTAAGTTAGAATGCAAAGAAGGATTTTGTCTCACTAGCAAAGAAAATTAGTGCTTAAAAGCAAGACCTGAGAGAATCAAGTTGTTTCCAACTAACTTAGCCATGTCCTGAAAAAAGCTCAGGAATTTTCATAGAGATATAAAAATATCCAATAACCAACAAATTTGTCAAGATCTTGACCAAATCTGAGTGATGAAATGTGTTCAAAAGTACTTCCATTTAATTATGAAGAAAGCAAAAGCAAAAAAGATAGAAGTGAGTCCCACTTCTATTTTGTAATTCTCCAATATCCTACTGATTTGTAAAATACCAAGACACTAAGAAACCTAGTCTTTTAAGAAAAAAAATGACTATTATTATCACTGTTTGGAAAAATATATAATGTTTTTACCTAGTGCTAGGATTTTTTCTTCTTTGAATTTTGTTTTTGTGGTTTAAATGGTCCAAAGAAGTTACCATACAGTGTATAATTTTATATTTTACAAACCATTTAAGAACATATTAACTTTTATAAAATATTAGAAACTTCTCTTCCTGTATTAACATGTGATACATGGTGCTGGCATTGTCAATTAAAGTAGTGAGGAAGGGATGGCCAAGAAAAAACAAAACAAAAACAAAAACAAAAACAAAACCACACACTTAAGGACTTAAAATTTGCAGGGACTTTTACTAGGCATTATAAATTTATTATTTACATAATTCTTGCAGCTTTCCAATCTATGGTACCAGGGTTCAAGGGATTCACCACAAATGGCTTTTAGTTGGTTTTGTGATTAATACTGCAGATTAATAATAGTTACTGTCCTGTTCTCTGTGGTTCAGGCACTCTATTTTTTTTTTTTTTTTTTTTTTGCACTAGATCAAATAACTGTGTTCCTATTACACAGAGCATAGTACAATGCTGGTAAATAATCCATGAGTCAAAAAAACAGAAACGGGAAATTAGAAAATATTTTGAATGAAACCATAATATATCAAAATTTGTGTGATGCAGCCAAAGCATCTCTTAGAAGAACACTCATAACATTAAATGCTTGCAGAAAATAAGAGAGGTTTCAAATCAATTATGCTTTCACCTTAAGAAATAAAAACAAAACAAAACAAAACAAAACAGAAATAGAAATAGAAAGCTAATCTCAAACAGCCAAAAGGGAACAATAAAGATAAGTACAGAAATTTATAAAGCTGAAAACCAGAAAAGCCACAGAGGAAAATCAATGAAACCAAAGCTATTTCTTTAAAAAGATCAATTCAATTAATATACCTCGAATCAGATAGAACAGAAAGATATTTTCACATAAATGGTTCCTTGATTTTCAATAGATGCCCAAGCTATTCAATAAAGAAATAATAAGATTTTTTAAAGTTTTATTTTATTTGTAATTGACACACACATATTCAATACATGTATATATTATGTAATCATCAAATCAGGATATTTATCATATCAATTGCCTCAAACATCTATATTTTCTTTGTAGTGAGAGGAATTCAAAATCCTCTCTTCTAGTTATCTTGAAATATATGATACAATATGGTTAACTGTAGTCACCTTACTGTACAGTAGAATACCAGACCTTATTCCTCCTATGTAACTATTATTTTCTACTGTTGACCTATCTCTCCCTATTCCTTATTCGACAGTCTCCCCTCCACTCCCCCAGCTTCTTCTAACCACTATTGACTCTGTACTTCTGTGAGATCAGCTTCTCTAGTTACCAGAAATGAGTGAGATCATATGATACTCATCCTTCTGTGCCTAGCTTATTTCACATTTGTAAAGAAATTGAAAGTATTATCAAAAAAACCTTAATGCATACCTCACATCACATACAAAAATTAACTCAAACTATAGAACTTAAAATAAAACTTAAAAGGGCAAATGTCTAAAAGAAAATATATGAGATAATTTTTTTGACCTTGGGTTAAGTAAAGATTTCTTAGGCACTACTCCACAAGTACTATCTCTGAAAGTGGCACAGTTAGAGGGGCTGAAAACAGATCAGTGGTTTCCAGGGTAAGGGTTGGAGGAAGGGTTTTACTACAAAGAATTGTTTCATATGATTTTGTTGGTGGTTACGAACCACATGCATTTGTCAACATCGTAAGATTGTACATTAAATGTAGTGAATTTTGATGAGTGTAAATTTTAGCTTAAAAGAACATTTTTTTAAAATAATCTGTATAATAATACCAAATAATTAAAACTTATTACTAAAAATATACTATTTATATTATATATAAGTGTCATATATATAAGTGTCATATATATACTATATATAAGTGTCAAATATATGAAATACTAGGAATAAATTATAAAATAAGGAAGATACTTACCCAAGGAAAATAAAAAAACAAATCTCCACAAAGACTGAAATAAAAGTGTTCACAGAAACTTTATTCATAGTTGTCCAAATCTGGTAAATAACCTAATGCACTAAAAGTATAAAACAACATACCTTGAAACAGACTCATACATGTATAGACCCTTCACTATGACAAAGTAACACAGCAGAGCAGTGGAGATAAAGATGTTTTCAATCAATAGTGCAAGGACAAGTGGTTATCTGAAAGAGGAAAGGAAGAAAAAACCATCTGGCCCCTACTGTATACAAAAGTAAATTCCAGATTAATTAAGTACTAAAATGTGAAAATGTTTTTCTAAATGATAACAGGAAAATATTTTCATCATCTCAAGGTAGTCGAACCTCTAAAACAGGACCCCAAAAGCACTAACCCAAGAAAGTATAATAAAAGTTACTACAGGAAAATAAAGAACACCCATTCACCAAAAGATACTATTAAAAATGTAGAAAGTAAGCTGCATTGTGGGAAAAGATATTTGCAACACATACGTCATGGCAAATTTTATGTGTCAGCCTGACTGGGCTAAGGGATGCCTTGATTGCTGGTAACATTATTTCTGGGTATGTCTGATGGTGTTTCCAGAAGAGATTAATGTTTGATTCAGTAGATGTAGTAAAAAAGTCCAGCCTTACAGATGAGAGAGGGCATCATTCAATCCCTTCAGAGCCCTGATAGGGGAAAAAATAAAGGCTAGAGGAAAACAAATTCTCTCTTTTTAAACTGGGGCATAAATCTTCTGCTCTCAGACATAAGAGATCTCAGTTGTTAGGCTTTCAACCCCTCAAGGACAAAATTACATCACGAGCTTTCCTGGTTCTCCAGCTTGCAGATGGCATATTCTGCATACTTCCAGCCTCTACGATTGTGTCAGACAATTTTCATAATAAATCTCCTCTAATATATCTTTATTTGCCCTATTGATTCTAATTCTCTGGAGAATCCTAACTAACGCAACATATAATTTCTAATGGCTAATATCCAGAATGTACAACTAACACCTACACATCCATAAGAAAATGAACTACTTCCCCTTCACAAATGGCCAAGAGAATTATTAACAGGGGATAATATCCAGATGGGCAATAAACATGCAAAAACTGATTAAACATTGTGAACAATCAGAGGTATGCAAGGTAAAACACTACTATTATTAATACTATAACACACAGAAATTTTTCTCACTATAACATCCCAGAATGACCAAAATTTAAAAGACAATTATGCCAACAATCTGAAACAAAAGAATCCTTGATATAGTGGTGGAGAGACTAAAAACTGGTACAACCATTTTGGAAAATAGGTTGATATCAGTTATAAAGTTTGAAGATGATAGACATATCATCAGATTCAGAAGCTTCACTCCTGCTGAACAGCAATGTTGGCATATCTATATCAAGAAATATTTACAAAAATGTGTAAGTGCTCAAAACTGGAAAAAAGTAAATGTCTATCAATAGGATACTGTTAACACACATTTTAAAATTCTTTAAAGTATACAAATTTTTAAAAATCATTCAAAATAACACCACACAACAATCAAACGGAACAAACCAGAGCTACACACATAAATCATAGTTGAATTGCACAAACATAATTGTGAGCAAAACAAAGTAGATACAATTAAAGATCCTATGCTTTCATTTACATAGTGTAAAAAATAGAGGAAGAACTAACTTATCGTATGTATGGATGCAAATTTACTTGGTATAATACAAAGAAAAGTAAGAAAATAATTACCATCAATGTCAAAATATCAGTTACTGTTGATTGAGAAAAAACAGGTTATGATCAGGAGGGAGCATGAAGAGAAATTCTGGGGTGTTAGCAATGATCATGTTTATTAACTTCATTGGGGGTTACAAAGGGCCCACTTTGTCATAACTTATTGAGTTGCACATTTTTACTAATTGTCCTTTTTTGTGTTTCACAATAAAAAGCTTAGAAGCGAACCATGAATAAATGAATGAATGAATGGTTAAATGATGCTCCACTATTTCCTGAAATGTTTAACATGCTAAAAAGAAACTCAGAATCAATCATGGACAGTCAGGAGCAGATTTGGGGAGTATAATATGGGGCTTGATTTTTAATAATTGAGACATGCATGGTAAAAAAGTACTAAAAGTGAAAGCAATCCAAATCAGTCTCCACATTGGACTATCAAATTCTGCCAGTGTCACCATAGCTTGCTTCCAATTCCAACTTGAAGTATATGATCCATATATTGTTGAAGCAGAAAAATGATATATTTCAGAATCTGTGAGATCAAGATTTAAGTACTAGCCTTTCCTGTTATTATCTGTATGGCTGCAAGCAAATAACCTAATTGACTTCCACTACTAGTTTTGCATCTGGTAAATGAAGATGGATACTATAATCTTACTCTTAGAATTAGATGGAATGACATATATAGAAATGATCCTAGAGTATAATTTTTTAATGTTGACTTTTTTCCCTCTGGATGGAAACCCTACATACAATTAGCTCTTTCCAACATCAATTGCCTTTTTGTAATATTTTTGAGAAAAAGAAAAGAACTTCTGCCATCCAGGAGCTGATGGAGACACTGTTGGCTAGGCTGGGTTGCCTCTTTTTCAAACATCAGGCAAGGCACTCTGTGACCATGATGAATCAAGAGAAATAACCAACAAAACAACCAACTAACAAAAACTCCAGAAATGCATATCTGAATTCAGACAAAAAGTAGAATACTGTTCAAACAACAAAAAAGACCTAACATCACCCTAACCTTGCTGATATTAGTGATTACTGCTTCTGTGCTGATTTAAGCTTCAGGATTTCTTCATGCTTCCTTGCTTTCTAAATAAGAATTATTAGGATACCCAAATCATAAAACTGTCTCCACATCCTTGAACCTTTCCTCAAGTCACGCAATACACGTTTCTATCCTCTCCTGAGACTTTTCTAACACCTTTAAAAAAAAAAAAAAAAAAAAAAAGAACTCCACTATTCCCCACTATATGCAGTCTTCCTCTGCAACAAGTCAATAGACCCAACTTTGACTTCAGATGTGCTCTTGGTTGGCTTTGGCTTGGGAGCACTGGCATCGCTCGCATTTGGACTCTCTTTTGGAATCCATCTGTCACGCTCTTACATGTGAGATCTGTTTTCCCTCATGTGTAAACTATTTTGGCAACCTAATTGGGCTTTCTACCCTTGCCTTTCCTACCTCCAACCATATTAAAGACTGCTGAATATGTATTAATCCAAAAAACTCTTCCTAAAAAAATACTATTTATCAGACATCTAACTTTACACATCCATTTTAATATTTAGTGAGTGAAAGACTGTCAGAAGCTGTTATCTCAAGAGACAAGATACATCCTTTGTGCTGGTGAAGCAATTGTAAGCTGTGATATATCTGGGTGTTCGCAGATAAGGTGCCAAACGCAAACCTATAAGTGGAAAAGCAATTTTCTTTTATGCCTCATATCACCGTGTGTCAAAATTCTCTAATTCCTTTGTTTTGTTGTAAATGAAGAAAGGTTAGATTGTGAGTAAAAACACTGTTTTGATAGCTTGAATCTCTGGAATAACCCCCAGAGGAATTAACAGAAAGCAGATCTCGTCAGAGCAATGTTTAGAAAATAGAAGTTTGTACTTTGTCATTCTATTTCACATTTTCAACTAGACCTGCAATGAGAAAACTAGCTTCCTAGCTTCCTTTTTTGTTTAATTCAATAGATATTTTTCATTTGTGCTTTTTAAAAAGTATTTTTAAAATTGTATTTTGCATAATGTGACACATAAATTGCACACTGTGGGAAGAATTGTCTGCCTCCCTGAATGAAACCGTTTTAATCTCAAGAGTTTTATTATCTGTTAAAATCTATTTAAATATAGGCATTCAATTTTACATTACTTGACATTTATGAGGAAGCTATTTTACAGCAGCAGGTTTCTGAATAGACAAGATCACAACAAATATTCATGATTATATGACATGCTAGATTGAAAAATATGGGGAACAAATGATCTAAATGCTCTGGGCAGTTCACATATATGAATATATCTAATAAAACTGTGGATCAGAGGTCTGCTAATACCTAATACTTGTTTGAAAACCACAAATATGACATATATAAGAATAGCCTATTTTATTTACCATATTGCAATATTAATAGAAGCTATTCTGTTTTGAATATTAGCTGAATTATTTAATATTAAAACTGGGGAACAGAGTCATCCATTTACAAAGTAAAATTTTCAGTTAGTATTTAAGGCTGTACTTTATAAAGAAAATAACAGCAATTTAGCTAGTTGAACTGGCTTGAAAGAGTGAATCCTATCTTTAACTGTGTACTATGACACGTACGTGGACTAGAAAGTATCTCAGCTTTTACTTCAATGATAGAGAAAGTCAATCCTGGGCACAGTTTTAGATTTGGAAAGATGTGACTGCCAGCCTCAATTAGGGTTAAAAGAAACTAGGAAAATGAGCTTCTACAATTAAGATTTTCTACAACTGACCTCATGGGTCTGATGTATGACAATTCAAACTGGGATTTTTATGAACAGGCAAAGAAACAAATCACCACAAGATTTTAAATTACACAGAAGAATCTGCATGAAACTTCTATCCATCAAATGGCCACTGAAAAATGAGGTAATTACCTAAAATAATTTGCATGTTAAGAGCTAATACAATATTACAAAGTAAAGTCCAGTTGTGAAAGCAATGCATAATTTCCTGATTAATGTCTCATGCACAGTATTTCTCCATGCTCTGTCAGAGCCCAAATAACAATATGGCCAATCAATCAAATTTTAAAAAAAGATAATTCAGATACGAAATGAGTTCAGCTCTAATAAATCATGATTTGAACTCAGTGAATTTTAGAGTTATGACAACTAATCACAGTATATTGTGTTTTTAAGCCAATACATTTAGGTTTTAATTGGTACAATTATAGATTTTCAGTGATTCAAGATTAGTGTGTGAAGGCAAAAAAAATCAATTTTTAGTTTGTAAAATGTCATCTATTAAGTTATTGAAGAAAACCTCATATTAAAATATCAAGTCTGTAACACACAGCGCTGCCAAAAGTTACAATTTGAGCGATATTTAGGCAGGAAGTCTAAGAATGCCAGTGGAGTAATATGGCCAAATTTCCTACAGCGAGATTATGAAACATTTTCCTTCTCAGTGGAAAGTGGAAACATTTTTTCTACAAGTAGGATTAATCTCCTCTGTCAG